ATTCAAAACATTTCCATAAATGTCTTTTATATTCTTTGTGGCTACAAAGGGTTGTTTCCCTTCTTGTATTCAAACATCATTACATGCCGAATGTGTGTGTCTCGTTGTGTGCCATCACTATAATTGATTAGAATATAATAAACTTTACAATTTTATATGCTACACTAACGCGCTAGGTTTAGGCGGTTTGTTTAACTATTATATGTGATGTACGTTTTTTGGGGGGTGGTTAATGAAAGTGTTCCAAAAAAGCGATATTAATTTCTTGACAACCTAATATATTTACTTATTTGTCAAAAAGATAAGTGGGAGTTATTTCTCGTATTTCTTCCGAGTGACGGCTCAGGAGTAAACAAACATAAGACACCAAGGAAGAACAACAAACTGATGCTTCTGTAAGTAGACCAAGCACTTCCTCGGTTTCCGTTTCAGCTATTTCTGTCCGTACACTGAACGCCAAACCTAAAACTAATATTCGTAAGTACCAGGAGGATTATTTAAAGTTTGGTCTCACTTACTGAGTTATTAATAACGAGGAACAACCACTGTGCGTTATTTGTTCGCAGATATTAGCTGATGACAGCACGAAGTCAAATACATTTACAAGGCATTTAGAAACCAAACATCCTGATCACGTGAGTAGAACCATCAAGTTCTTCAAGTTAAAAGTGAAACAACTGAAAGGGCAAAGCAACTTGCTTTAAAAACAGGTCACTGTTCCACAACAGCCTTGAAATATTGTTTAGACGCGACTTATTTGATTGGGAATAGCACGAAGCCACATAACATGGGAGAGACAATAATTGTTCCTGCTGCCCCACAAATGTGGAAGGTCATTTATTGTATGGCGAGGTATGGCGAGGCTCTCAAGTCTATCCCATTATCACATGCCATTGTCGCGAGGCATATAGATGTAGACTCTCTTGACATAAAAATGCAATTGATAACACGCATACAGAAAAACCTGAAATTCGTTATTACAACTTGATGAAACCACAAATGTTGCAAATTTAGCTAAGCTTCCGGTATTTGTACACTACTAATATGAAGAGGAAGTGGGTGAAGAGTTTCTGTTTTACCAAATACTGGAAAGAAGAGTTAGAAGGGAAGCCATTTTCTTTCTTGTTGATGAGTTTTCACCATAAACAATCTTTCTTGGATTAATTGTATTGGTGTATGCACTGATGGGTGCTTTTGCTCCAGGTGTAACACTTACACATTGCACCATACATGAGGAAGCATCAGCTTCAAAGAAATTGTAGTCCAAAGCAAATAAAGTACTACAAGATGCTGTGAGTATTGTAAACTTTGTGAAATCAAGAGCTTTCAAGAGCAGGCTGTTATACTACAACCATACACAGTAGTAGCGCTTCTATTCATCTGAAAAAAATTCAGTGTTAAGTTGCAGATCAATTCCAAGAATCATCGGTAGAACACGATTGAATCCAGAATCCATTTAACGGCAGCATAACTTCTCACCTTCCAACAGAAGTCCAAGAAAAGCTCATAGCGTTATCAAGTGATAAAACTATTCATACAATATTCAGATCAAACCCTCTTGGGGATTTCTGGATGGTAGTTCACAAACTATACCCTGACCTGTCAAGAAAAACAGTGAGCATGTTTTTCCCTTTCACATCAACATACCTGTTCAAGTCAACGTTTTCTGCTCTAACGGCAATCAAAACAAGACAGTGATCTCGTCTGCTGATGATCCCCAGTTGCTATGTCAACAATTCAACCAATAATGGACCATATTTCAAGCTAAAACCCATCCTTCACACTAAATTGAGTAAACTGAAATATGTCTTATGGTATGCATCATTTTAAGACTTGTTTTATCTTTATACGGTGTACGGGGACGGGTGCAAAAAACGCATGTTTAATAATGCTTGGAGAATTAATCTCAAAGTGAGTTCCTCGTCACCGAATTTGAAAACGCATGTTTAGAAAGGGGGGGGGAGAACGCCATAAAAGGTTTGCCCACAACTACCCTATTTGACAACCATGCACTTTAACAATACGATTACCTACAAGTATTACGGTTTCTCAGCGCCCATTTCAAAAGTCCGATTGCACAGAAATCCATAGGTGACTTGAAGAACATGTCTTCGAATGGAAAGCATGAAAGTACTTTCCATTTTCCAACTTCTAGGGATATGCTAGGGACTTGTGCCACTTTACCAAATGGAAATCCTTCTTGATTATGTTGCGTATTGCTACCTGGAGCAGGTGGACGACTTTTACCATTGACCTTTGTGTTCATGCATTCTCACCTGTTAAATGATACCACACTTTGTTTAATATGCGTGGTGTACAACTTGTTGAAGGTCTCTTTCTGTATTATTCTGTATCCCCATTTTGATCCATACTCCTTTGTTTACCAAAGCCATTAAGCACAAGGGTAACCCCATCTTGGAAATTCTAAATCCCCGAGGTGAACGTATCTTCATGATCTATTTTTGGTGGCATCAAACTACCTACGAAACGCTAAACAATGTCAAACTGTAGTTCTGATACGTACCTTTCCATCGAGACTTTATACCGGCTGTATTCATCATGTGGCTTGCAGATTTGCATATTCAAATTATTTTTTCTAGCATACTCAACCTTCTGTATATGTATGTATATATATATATATATATGTATACATAATGAGATATTCATACATTGTGTACGAATGTATCTGTATACTTATTTACTTGTTTAATATATATATATATTATATAAGTGCGTTTATGTTTCGTATAAGCTTTCACTTTTATGATATTATACGATTTTAATTAATGTAATAGTTATATTTCCTTGTGTTTATTCACAATACTTCCTTGGTTAATTATGTTATCACAACACTTTCGTATATTACTGTTATTGCCGCTCTTTCTCTAATTCAAATTTCAATCAGTTAGATGCTATTTCTTCCATATCTTCTTGCCCCTGACGAAAAACTGGGAACTAAATAAATCTTTATTACCGTTGTAGTCTATGTGTTCTTTAAATGCTGTTAAGGCTGAAAATACCAGTATATGTTAATATTGTAAACACGCTGTTTACTACAGTATTCTTTAAACTTTGTTCCTGATACAAGTCAGCAAGTACTTTGATGAGCTTAAACATTCTCAATAAATATAGGATCTGGAGATAAACCCCCATTTGAGTTATTTTGTCATATCCCAAATCCTATATTACCGTTTGTCTTTACATAGAATTTGCATAATTTTTGGTGTGTCCTTTGGATCACCATAAGTCTGAGACGTGGGGCTCTTGCCCTACTTATTCGTATTCCACTGATTATATACTGAAAAGGTTAATGTCTAATTAATAACGGCAAAGTTTTTACTTGATACGAAACGTCCCACTATAAGCTTCATGAAATGTTATATTGTTCTTCTAATGTATCGACACTGGAATCAGATAATCCTAGAAAGAAATTTGCGGTTGACGACATCATAGTTAAAAGTATTGAGAAATAAATTATGTCTGAGGATTTAGCAATAGTGTATTTATATGTCTCGTAAGCCAACGATCAAAAACAAAGGAGAAACGAGTAGATGTAAAGTATCCATATGACATAGAAAAGTAAAAGTTTTGAACTAACTGATTAAGAACAGTTGGTTATTCAGATAGTGCTTATTGATAAGGTTGGCACTGGGAATTTACATATGATCGATTTTTCAGAAAGAGGAAATTAATTAAAAAGTATTGGAAGAGGAAGGGCATCCAATAATGACGGACAGCTGTAAAAAATACTTAATGATGATTTAGCACCTTATTTTCAGAAGAAAGTAAGATAATGTCTACATCTTTTCTTATACTGTCGAAGTATAAATGAACCTAGGAACAGATTTACTGCTCCATTCTGTTCATTGACCTGATCATAAGGTTATCTACAACTTATTGTATCACCAGAGAAGTTCTTATAATTTAATCAATTGAATAAGTAGCTTAGTGAAATTTAAGAAGAAAAAAAACACATTAAGGATTACATTACTTATATTTTCTTATTTGTAACATGTGAGATTATTTCATTAGTAGCATCTTATATCATTACATATAAACTCACCTTCTTCTTGTTCTAAGCTTTCTGATTCCACATCTTTCAAAACGCATGTCTTGAAAAGAATCGACAAATAGAGTATGCATAATATTACTTGATTATATCTTTTATGGTGCATGTTTATAGAGCTAGAGGCAACAACTATCTAGTGATAAATACAGCCAACAAATAGTAAAAATAATTGCAACTCGACTAATTTTTATATCTACTGGTTATATGAATTTGATGCTGAAATCGCCAGCTTTGCAGCTCTAAATTACACGTGTTTGCTCCATCAGCATTTTAATGACTGAATGGGCGGAGCTAAAGTTAACTCTTAACTAAATTATAACAATAATTTGCTTTACTATTGCTAAAGATCTATTTTAAAATCTAACTACAAATTTATCTGAACGATATAGTGGAATTATTAAAATAATTTTATATGATAAAATTCAAAATGAAACGTTCAGAAGTATTTGAATTATCCAATCAGTGTCTGCCAAATCTTCAACGACGTAAAAAATATAAAATCTTTACTTAACCGCTTGCTTCAATGAGTTCAAACACTCCGTTTATCACTTAGACTACAATTTTTTATTCTTACCTCATTTTTCTTAATAACTAATTATAATTTTCCTTCTTTTAGAGAAGATCGTACAGAACTCGAAAAAATTTACTAAAAGCATCAAACTATAAGCGTTTTAACTCCCACTTTTTTAATCTTGACTACTACGTAACTCGTAATCTGGCTGGTATCGAAACATATGGACAAAATTAAGATATAAAAATATATTTGATTTTCTTGATCATGTCCGTTCTTATCTCCTTTCTCTATCCTTGTTATGATGATAATTTACTTAGACCCTGTGTGGATTAGTGGATTGTTTTGTGAGCCTGGACAATAAATATAGGTCAAGTTAACATCAAGTTGACGTGAAACTTTCTTGCAGCTTTCATGAAAGTATAACCATCTGTAACATATTACCCCGTCCACCATGTGTCACAGTTGAAATTGCTGTTAATTTCACCCTTTCACAACTAATTAAAAATATATATCTTAATTAAGTAAGATATGCTCAGGTAATGTTTCTAAAAGTTTGTGTAAGTATTCTGCACACAGTAAGTGACAGTTTAATAAAGTGACTGCTTAGGTAAAGGCTACATTTGACAATGGCTATTGCATAGAAACTTGTACCAGTTCGACTATGTATCTGTGTCCAGTCCCTTGAGCAGCGTAAGTTCATCTTTGGGGTTTACACAAATACTTGTACAAGTTGGTATGAATTGTGGGGGAGGGGGGGGTTGCTTTCTTGAATATGTCATTTGGAATATCCATTGATGAAGATAATCCATAAGTGATGGGATACCACACTAAACGCCCTTTATATGACTTGAAATAGTGATATATCGTGTATCCTTTTTCCTGTTCTTGGATGGTGCAGACTTATTTTTTATCAATGTCGTGTGTGGGAATGTTTGACTATCTCTTTATCCCATAGTCAGTTGAAGTCATAATGAAATAATAAGACTTAAATATACCTGCAAATAAATATTTTACTTGTTCTACTTTTATTTCCTTGTTGTTTTTAACTACCTGTATTCTAATTTATTTTCTACATAATATTTACCAAACTTGCTGTATTGTGGAAACTCTTAGCCAGCCATTGCTAGATATACAGCTAGGACGGCTGAGGTTGTTAGAAAAAATAATGTTTCATTCAATTTTTCATCATGTTTGGACATTTTGATAAATCAATATACTGAAAAAATTGTGCAGTTCTTTCTTTCTTAGCATTCAGATTAAAAATTGTCGTAAACGTTGGTGGACATTTGTTAATATAAACTTTCTGATCAAACTCGCGATGTTGTTCGTAAGTCGGCTCGACTCTACATTGTGTTGCTCTGGAAGATTGTGTCTGATATCTGGTTGGTATATAATAGTCTTCTTGAAGCACATGAATAAAGTTTTACTCTAACACACGATGACAGATTGACATAAAATTTATAATTTTGCGTATAATTCTGCTCGATTTTTGTTTAGTTATTTTTGTATTTATCTGATATAGCGGGTTTTTCACAACCTCTTAACAGCAATACTAACAAATGAAAACATAACGATTTGGGTCGACTGTTATGTTATGAGTGTGAAAGTAATTTTTCTGTCTTCCCTCGTACATCAATCACATCAGAACTGTTTAAATATGTGTGTATTTTGCATTTTAAAAAATGATATGATTGGATATTATAGTAGCATGTGCCATTTCTGCACATTTCTTTTATTTTTGAGATTTGCTTGTTGTTAAGTACAATGGGCTCTTATCAGTGTGTGTATCGAAAGCTAATTTTAAGCCTTCAGATTTATCATTGAGTCACCATGGGGTCGCATATATATACACACATGTATTAATCGCTTTCTTTTAAGACCAACATTAGTAAGCAAACGAAGTTTGAATACTCTTGTAGAGAAAACTGGCTGTTTAATCTTTAAAAGGCTGATGGCTTAAAATTTGTGCAGTCTCTCCAACTAAAAATTGTTTCAAATGTAACTTTGTAAAGAGTACTCGGAACCATTCACCATGTTAGCACGGAAAGGGGTAAAAGGAATGTTGAATGAAGATGTAGAAGGTGCACACAAGCCCGCCTCCTGGTGTACACAGACACTTAGCAATTAGCCTGTGTACTCTAAAGGTCCTGCCGCACTTCACATCAAAGGGAGAGGTAGGCTGAAACCGGAAATTTTGAGTTTGTATCAAAATAATCAAACTCAGATAAAAAAATCAACAATTCTTGACCGACAGCTAGCCAATAAGAATTACACAGGCTAAATATAGTGCTTAGGTTCTAATCAGCGTATATTTCTGGTGAGGCTGGTGTTGAGCCGGGCTACACATCAAACTACAGCACTATAATTATTTTAATATTTCATGGGTTTTAAAGTAAAATGAATTAATAAGGTTTTATAAGGCACGAAAAACACCAATACTGTTTGTTGTTATTTACGGTGGCGTAAAAAACGGGGAAGCATGGAGAAGCGATAGCTCCCCCTAGATTTGGGTAAAGGGAACAAGAGGGAGTGGCATAGATTACCCTAATGTAAAGGGATTTCTATTGGAAACTCCTTGGTGGCTCAACGGCAAGTCTTGGGGACTTATAACGCTAAAGTTTGGTTTCGATACTCGCGACGGGCAGGCATAGAAAATCCCTTGTGTAGCGTTGTGTTTCACAATAAAGATGATGAAAGATGATGTTGCATCATCTAAATTCGTATATATTTTTCAAAAACAACGCCAAAAACTAGTGTATATACAAGATGCTTAGAATGTCTGGATACATTAATTAAGGAGTAGATTTTGTTTTAGCTGATATAAGGCACAATGATAAGATAATTTATTAAACTAATTCTCTTTAGATGGCGCTGCAAGCATGATACGTTTATCCGAACTTGAAAAAATTAGTACCTAAGATTCAAAATAAAGTCATGACGTATACGATTCTTCATAGTTTAACTTTAACGTTCTTTTGTATGTGAATAGTAAATATAGTTTAATAACACTAAATTAATCCACACAACACTACAAGCGTGATGATTGAATACTGCCGCACCTCAGAATTTATTTGCTTATTTTTGAACTTCGCGCAAAACTACTAAAGGATTATCCGCCTTTGCCGTTCCTAATTTTGAAGTGATAAACAAACTATAGTAAAAGCAGTTAGAGAATATTACTCATCGCCGTCTCTTGTACTACTCTTTAGCAACAGATGGCGAGATTGATCATAATATCATAACAAGTTCGGAAACGGGATTCAAACCCGCGGTCCAGTGATTGCAAATCGAGAGCCCTAACCACTATATTAAGCTAGGCCCCAAACTTGAGGAACAATCAATCATAATAACTATATATTTCGTATATCTGTATCTCACTTCATTTCGATTTAAGCAAGTCTATATGCTTCTTTTAACAGTTCAGTTTAAACTCCGTTTCTTTGTCTAATATATATTTTTGTAAGTGAACGCTAATAAATATATTTCTTTTCTGCAAACTTATTGTGAAGTTGTCACATTTACTGGCAAACATTGGTAAAAAATAAAGAAAAAACACACACCATAACTATTTGATCTGTCATGTCTGTGTTCCGTAGTGTCACGTGTTGTGAATCATGCACTATATAGCACAAATCAATTACACGTTATCATTAAAAGATAAGATAATTTGTACCTTGATATTATTTTACGATAGGAACGCACACTGGTTATTTACTCTATCTTGTTATTATCAATATAGATCAGATGTAAGCTGTTCTTATGATCGTATCTGCTTACACCTCCCTTATATAGTACAACGGTAGTTACCCCAGTATTAACGTATTTCTTTATGTTGTTAATAATTTATAACGCGTAGAATGGAGATGTGATTTTGAGTGGTCTTCTTCATTCAATTGGCAAAATTCTCGTTTGTCAATGTGCTTAAATATAAATAAGGTCCAACCAAGCTGTTTGCTTACAATAATAATGGGGATTTTCAGTGGAGGTTTGTGTAACCTAAATAAATGTTAAAACATGTTTGGACATTATAAAGTTGCAAATAATTCATATTTAAGACCACTTAAGAATTAAACCATTAACAAATGCTAGCCCGGCACTTTAAAATAATTCATACCGGACTGATGTGGCCTGTTGGTTAGTGTGTCTGAATTTTGATTCCAAGGGTACATAGTTCAACTTCCGTTTCCGCAAAAACAAGCTCCAAACTTTGGAACTGTAGATGCGCTATAAGAATGATGGTCATATCCACTATTTGGTCAGACAAGAATAGCCAAAAAGTTGTCCGTGGGCTGTTAACTAGGTGCCTTCCTTCTACTCTACCAATTCAAAACTAGTGATAATTGTACACAGGCAGCCTTTCGTGTAGCTTTGTGCGGACATTTCAAAATAAACAGGCAAACAATAACTCATAGAACCACATTATTGATCGTATATATATATATATGAAGTGATGTGTTCACTTGCTATTGTTTAAACTAATGAAAAAATGAGCATATAAGTTTTATAACAGTGAGAAAAAAACAAAATATCAGATGAGCAAAACGAAGATGTGTATATATTTTCTTCTTTTGTTTATAGTTGAACGAGTGTTTTAACCCTAAAATAAAATAATCTGAATTGGCATGACAGGAGTTTTAGTTCTAATGTAGAAAAGTCAATTTTTGAGACTCAAGCATGACGTATTGACTTCTCATGCTTTGTCGTTTACTGTAAAGTTTTGAAAACTATCGAGACCTACATAAAGGAGCATATAAGGAAAATATAAGCATCACTGAAGCGGTAGGTTTACATATACATTGTTGACTCAAAAGTACATGGAGAATATACTGGAAACACGTAGAATTTCACTGATAACTTTACATGTGGCTAAATGGGGAGTGTACTTAAAAACCTGAAAGGCTGATAACAGTAGAAAGAAAGTCAGTAATGGCTTAAAGTGACTGAAATGTGCTCCGAATTTAAGTGAGAATGTGGAAGTACGTTGAACAGTTCGTGTCTTCACTATTGAACTGTCATACTGGCTCTGAACAAACAAGATCAAGAACAACACAGGTAAGCAGTCTTGTTTACTTACAATATACAATTGTGTGTACGAGAGAAAAAATCTAGATATTATAAGTCTATCTATCTCACTGACTTTATACTTTGCCATCCATATATATATATTTATATTATCTTATATTTCTATATAATTATTGTAATTATTGAGGCAGGCCTGTATTACTACGCTGTAAATTCTTAACTGTGGAAATTTTACTTTGAGTAGCTACTACTCACCTATTGTTATGGAGAGTTGATCCCATACTTTTAGTGAAAAAAAAAAGTTGTTATGTAAACGACGTATAACAAAAAAGTACAGGGACAATACTCATGTCTAAGGGACGTCTATTGTTTTGTTCAATATGTAGTTCTAAAAACAGCAAAACCTAAAAGGTATGACATCGAAAGAAGAAATAGTACACCAATTTCTTATAGTCCAAAATAATTCTAATAAATACAATACTCATTTTATTTAAGTTTTCTGTTTGTTTGTTGGGAATTTCGCGCAAAGCTACACGAGGGCTATCTGCGCTAGCCGTCCCTAATTTAGCAGTCTAAGACTAGAGGGAAGGCAGCTAGTCATCACCACCCACCGGGCTACTCTTGGGCTACTCTTTTACTAACGATTAGTGGGATTGACCGCCACATTATAACGCCTCCACGAGTGAAAGGGCGAGCATGTTTGGTGGGACGGGGATTCAAACCCGCGACCCTCAGATTGCGAGTAGAGCGCCATAACCACCTGGCCATGCCGGGCCTAAGTTTTCTGAGAATCAGTCATTACGTAGGCCTTTAGGTTGTTTCTAAGATATACGAATGGATTAAGAAGTGGTTGATAACTGGCTGTTATTTTTCCATAACCTTTAACTTATATTCACTACAATTTGATTAGTTAATACTTGTATACAGTCATAACCCTATGTAGTATGGCCAAATTATGATTTGCATTTCTTGGTATAGCTTGTTTGCATATCAGCGACAAAAATCCTGACCATGAAATAAAGTGTACGAGTAATAGTGCACTTAATTGACAAAGCACTCTTTTGTGAACATAAGACGAGGACATATTGAAAATAACAGTTATTGCTAGTGTAGCAGCGTTTGTCGTATGTTGTTATTAGTAGCTGAGAAGTTAAACATATGGCATCCTACGGATACGAACACTTTTATAACGTAGGTAATCCACTAGCAAAAGAAGGGATTTAACTTCAAGATATGGTTTTGAATATTAGCAGAGTATTTTGTATACTCATTAATTTTCTTTTCTTATAATCTTTAGGCCAATCTCAGATTTTAACTGATAGACTAATGATGTTCCATGAAACCATCATGCTAGTGGTTCATAATATGATTTTCTATATATTTCATGGTAAAATCAAGAAAAACTACACATCAACACAATATTAATAAATTCTGATTTGTAACTTTAAACTGTTTTCTACAAAGTATTTTGGGTTGTTTACAATTAATACGAAAGACAACAGATATTCTGATTTGTTATTTTTAGTTAATATATGCAATTATAGAGAGTACGGCCAATCATATTAGTATGTAATAAGATATCCAATAAGAAATAGTTCTAGAATAACAGGAAGTATTTTACGCAGCTTAGGCAACAAGCTAACTTTGATTGGACTTTGTAGATTTTGATATAATAATCAATATAAGAGTTAATAACTAAGCAAGTCATACAAATAACATTCTACGGCAGTATTGTTAATGGCAGAGCCACAAACTTCATTGCTATTATTAGAGAGGGAAAATAAAATGTTGGGAAAAGAGTCCAGAATCTCTAATAAAATAACAACAACAACAACATAAAATTAACCATTAAATTCACTTGTGAATTGTTTAATAAAGTCCCATTTTTATACTCCAATTAATGGTAATCGTATACATATACTACAAAAAGTATTACATCTCGGCCAGAGATATTTACGTTTTATAATGTACGAATATTGAGTAGATTCACCCACGTAAATACAGTTGTGTCGAAAAACTTTTTGAACAGGCTTGATAATTAAACAAGATAAAAGTGGAGAATACTTGATCCCCGTTTTTTTTATTCCTACTGTAACAAGCAGTAACATGAATATAAAAAAGGGGCCAGGTATTCCCCAATGTATTCTTGCTTAGCTTGACCACTTTTAAGTTACATCTTTACAGGATTTACCCCTTGATATAACTTTATATTACTTATTTACATGACTAACTTCTTTATTCTAACATGGCTGCTTTTGTATATCTATAGTGTTTTTTTTTATCAGATTTTATTAGTCATATTATTTTGAGGTGTGCCATTTTTTCTTAATTAGTTGATTTATAGCTAATGTTCAAAGGGCTTAAACTTAAAATTTATATTTATGCGTTTATATAAATTTCATATTGTTATTGTTTTGTTTATAATTTTCTTCGAAAATGTTTAATCAATAAGGTTTTAATATCTACATATCCAAACTAAGGAGTCACTTAGTAACGAAGATTTTAACTCTTACTTAAGGGTTTAATTTCGCGTTATGTTCTTTGTATATTTCTTTCAACATTCGCCTGGCACGATCTGATGGTTAGGACACTCGACTCGTAACCTGCGGGTTCGAATCCCGTCATCGGACATTCTCTCCCTTTCGGCCGTGAGGGCGTTATAACATGACAGTCAATAACCATTTTTCGGTAATAAAATAATAGCCCAAGAGTTAGTGGTGGGTGATATTAACTAACTGCCTTCTCTCTAATCTATCTCTTCAAAATTAGGGACGGCGAACGTAGATAGCTTTGCACGAAATTCAATAAATAAACAAATAAACATTTCGACAACATCCACTCTGAAGTTATTCTTTTCGCGCTAAATCCTTTCGCCGATTTCAGTTTTTGTAGTTTTGATGTTAGTTCTTTAGGTGTTAATGTTTTCTTTTCAGGGGGGGGGGTCGATGTTAGGCCTTTCAAAGCCAATCCTATTGCGGCAGGTGTTTTTGATTTGTTGATATCAGAGCCGAGTGAGGCCCATTGGTTAGTACATTAGACCAGGGGTATCCAAACCTTTCTGGAGAAGGGCCGGGATGGAGATCTTTTTAGGCTTCGCGGGCCGGAGGGGTCGTGGTAAAATTAAGAAGGGATGTATACATGATCAGATTGATTTTTGCTCAATTACGTTTTATTTTTTGTTTTTATAACATTAAAAAGTTATATTATTACTTTAATAAACTTTCAGCAGGCCGGATAAACCGAAGTCGCTGGGCGTATTTTGGAGAAGGGCCGGATGGAGATCTTTTTAGGCTTCGCGGGCTGGAGGGGTCGTGGTAAAATTAAGAAGGGATGTATACATGATCAGATTGACTTTTGCTCAATTACGTTTTATTTTTGTTTTTATAACATTAAAAAATTATATTATTACTTTAATAAACTTTCAGCAGGCCGGATAAACCGAAGTCGCAGGCCATATTTTGGAGACCCCTGCATTATACTGTGGAACTGAGCTTCCTTGGCTCGCGCATCGTTAACGCCAAATAATAATAAATAAATAGTGCTCCGCACTTTGAACCCGTTGGTGCGTTATAAGAGTTACAATAAAATCCCAGTATTCGGTCTGACATGAGTAGCCTGAGAGTTGACAGTGAGTGGTGTTGACTAGTTGCCTTCCCTCTTATCACTTCAAAGTTATGGACTACTAGCGACGCTAACCTTCGTATAGTTTTGCGCGAAATCCAAGAAGTAAACAATTTGTTGATTACATGTCTTTTGAAGTTAGTTTGATAAGTTTTTTACTTTAGTTCATTCGGTGTTAGACCAAACGTGTTCGAATTTCTCTTTTCGGTTTTAGTTTTTGAGTCTAATTCTTCCTGGAATACTTACTCAGCGTAATGGCCATTCGTTTTCATCAGGTTGTTAAGTACTGGATTGTATTCGTTTCCTTATTTGATTATAAAAGTGAGTAAGAATTTGTTTTCGTCAGTCAAATATTCATAACCTGTAATTTATGTTTCATCTAACATGCAAAACTTTAGTAGAAACATTTACTTCTTCTTCATCAATTAAACTTCATCCCATCTAGTTTTGGGGTCGGCCGCTGAGGTATTTAGTATTAGCCAAGAATTTTTACATTCGTGTCGTTGGCTGTGGCAGCATTCCTAAAGGGAGAGCAATGTTCTGTCGAGTGAAACATGTAGCATGTTCCCCAAAATAAAACCACTTCATTATGCTTATAAATCGTTGTTTGTCAATTTACTACGTTTGTTCTAGATGTATTTCCTTGAATACTACAGGTTATCAGCTGTATTTGACCTAAGGTAGTTAAAAGTCCACTTCAAATGTTATTTGTAAGAAGTTTACGAAACGTATTACCATTGTTTTCCCTGAAAAGTTAGTTATTGTTAACATAAATAGACCGCTGTACAAGTACATGCATGATGTGCTACAATGAAAAAACAAGAGAAATTTCAGGAATGAGAATAATAGACACTCGATGATGTCACGTCCTTTTCTTGTAGCAACACTGATAACCGTTTATAGAACATGATTATAGAACGAACTGAAATAACGTAGTTAGAAGCCTACAATTCTTTTAACCTATAACTTAATCTTTGTTTTATATCTAAAACGTTGACAGCGTGACAAGTAAAGTCATGTTTACAACAAATACTAATTTATCTCTTAAACTTAACATAAGTATTACCTGAAAAAATAATAACAAAATGAAACTAAATCTTCCATTCAAATTCCATTACAACCACACAGATTAAAGAACACATTCTCAGTGTAGAGGTTATCGTATAGCATGATAGCTGCTCAGAGCCACTAAAATAAAATGATAGTTGCATATAGTAAATGTTTCATGTTAGATGTTTGAAACTTACTATGATGTTGAATGGGTATACCTGTACCACATTTGCTCACGTATGACGCTAGTTTTACAACACTTGTTACACCATACAATATATTAATTGTTCTTAGTATCCTACATCAAACAATAAAATATTTGTTCCATATGACTGTGTTTGGTTATACTAAACTTCTTT